TTGTGGCATCACATGCCAATGTTCCAAGGAACAAAATTATAATGGCTCCTCAGGGAAACTCTTCACACCCGAAAAATCAGTGAGGCACTGAGGGGCTTTTTCCTGTTGATTTTGCCTCCTCGTTGGGCAATGCTCGCTTTTCTTCTGCAGCCACACCTAACCTCTGGCAAATTCATTTCCTCTTTCCCTCCAGCTGGGGCTCTGAACAAAGCTGTTTTTTTTTTGGTTGTTCCTTTTAAGATACATTTTTTAAAGTATTTTTCAATAGGAAACTTAGTAAAAACTAAGAGAAACAACACACAAACAGCACAAAATGGGCACCGTTCTAAGCTGGATAATGTCCAGGCCCTGCCCAGGACTCTTCAGGCCCTCTCAGAGAAGACCTAAAACCACACCCTCCCCACCTTTGCAACCGCCAACGCCTGCACGGTGGCCAGGAAGCTAGATCTTGGCTGACAAGCCTACGAACTTACTCTTGAAAAAATGAGATCGAACACACTGTCATCTACTTTTAGCTTACTTTATCCTTTGCTGACAACCCATCATATAGGGGTAAATTGTGAAAGGATGACTTCTGAAGTAGGAAGAGAGGAACAGGAACTACTTCCTGTGCTGGGTAAGGAACAAACCTCCAGGAGGGCGTTTCCAAGGAGACTGTGCATACTGCACATCACCTTTGACTTGAGAGATGCTGGGAGGTATCGTGGAATTATTTCAGATGATGGCTCAAGCAACTGGAAGAAGGAGTTGTACATTGTTTAATGATCATGTCTCCACTTTTTAGCCTCACATTAACAGCTTTATTTTTTTTTCTTCCTGTAGAGCAGAGCCCACTCGATCCTTTCCTTCCCAGAACAGTAGAGCCCATAAGAAGGAGGGGCGATTCAGCATGCTCAACCAAATCTTCTGCAAAAATAAGAAAGAACAGCAGAGATCCTCTCAGAAGGATCCCAGCAGGGACCGATACTGGGGGGAAGACACCTCGGAAGTTGATGACATCATCACCGCCTTTGACAGCATCGTGGAAACCAACTGTCAAGATCAGCCTGGTGACCAGGTGGCTATGGTTGAGTTTAAGAAGAGGACTGCAGAGCATTCAAAGTATCTCTTACCAGAAAAGAAACCTCTGGCCCAGAAGGGACTTCCACCAATCAGAACACAGAGTCTCCCACCCATCACCATGGGAAACAACTTCCTGACAGCTTCCCATGGGGCTATGTCCCATGCTGGATTGAGCTCTGGTCCTCATCAGCTGGCCCAGCGATCTCAGAAAAGTAGAAGCGAACAGGATTTATTAAATAACAGAACTGGCTGCCAGACATTGCTAGAGCACCCCTGGAGGGGTGAGTCAAATCAAGTGTTCTCCTATAAAGCTTGGACTGTGTCTTCTTCTGATAAGTTACAAGACAGACTGCTCACTGACAGATCTGGTTACCAAGAAATCTCGGGGCCACTGCATCTCCCTCAGCTATATAATCCTTCCTCAGGTAATGCCCTTACTTTTATTTTCTTCTTCCTGATCAATTCTATACAAGAAACATTGTATACAGTTCTGAGTTAGGACCTGAAGTGACAACCTTCATATCACCCCTGTGGGAAGGGCCAGAGTAAAATGAGAAGGCCCATCTTTTCCCCCAGGATACAGGTGTCCAGACTTGGTGTGATTTTCTATGCTGAGCGCAATCATCGAAGAAACGTGAGTACTCCTCATCTCCCAGCAAATATGTGTGGGGTCTGGCAGAATTGAGCATGATTACTACTATTTCCACCAGCAGGAATTCTTAGCCAAGCTTGTGTGGGAGACACACAAGTAGGGATTATCTCATTTGTTTGATGACCCGTTTTTGTTTTTCTTATAACAATTTAATTGTCAGATAATTCACATATCATACAATGCAGTCATTCAATTATATTAAGAAGAGTTATACAATCATCACCACAATCAATTTTAGAATATTTTCTTCTTTCCTGATTATCTGTTTTTAAAACCCAATGCCAGACTTATTCAATTAAAATCTTAGTGAGAGAGGAGGTAAAATGGCTGTGCCTTTCAGATTAAGCATTACCACATTCACATATTCATGGTTTAAGTCTCAATATATAACAGTTACATGACTTTTCTCTCTCCTGCCTCTTCCTCCACCCCCTCACAAAAGCTACCAATGTTCTTAGTTTCTTGTTTATCCTTCCAGAGATATTTTACAAGTATGAGAACAATATATGAGTATCTATTGCAGTCACCTTTTGAAATATCATGTTTAATAGGAGCCCAGGTGCTGCTAGCATGTTAGGCTGCTAACGACAAAGTCAACAGTTTGAAGCTACCAACTGCTCATCAGAAGACAGATAGATTGTCTGCTCCAGTCAAGATTGATGGTCTTCTAAGCCCTAAGGAGAAGTTCTCCTCTGTCCTATCGGGTTGCTGTGATTCAGAAGTGACTCGATGGCAATGAGTGAGTCACATTTATTACTTTTGACATTCACTGGGGCTACTGCACACTGGAGGCTCGGAACTCTTGCTGCCAGGCTGCAAACCAGCTTCCAGAATTTGTTCAGTGCTGTAATGTTAGTTTATCTTGATTTGCTTTTAATTAAATTGATTGCCATATTTTAAAACCAGAACATTTTACATAATATTTTGAGCTGTTCTTGAAAAATTGGTGATACTGAACCCAAAGATTTGTGGGGCAATACTCAGATACTCAATACTAAGTAAGCCCTGTCCCTTCAGAAAGCGTGGCAGGACTCCCCGATCCAACCTACTCTGTACCGCTCAAGAAGTCCTGTCGGAACAATGGATAAATAAGCACAGTGCTTCAAGCCAAAAGATCAGTGGTTTGAACCCATTAGCCACTCTGCTGATGAAAAGACCGGACAATATGCTTCCCTAACACTTAGGGCCTTTATGGGACAACTTTACTCTGTCCTATAGGGTCACTATGAATAGGAATTTGCTTGAGGGCACCTAACCAGAATCAGACCACTCTCTAATATCTCTCTCCATGGAGTATCCATGGTTGCTTGTCAAGGTTTGTCTGTTGTTCTTCTCATAGTATAGTTAAGAAGAAAACGCTGTGCTTGTTGAATCCTTATCTCTTTCAAACATGGAAAAATGGAAGAAAGACCAAGAGGATTATGTGTTTTAAGAAAAGTAGGGGCAAGTATCTTTCTTTTATAAGTTAGGAATATTCTGTCTCATGTAATATGCAGCTTGAGACTGGTCCTCTTCACTCATTTATGTGGTACTCAGAAACTGTGAGGCAGAACATGGCTCCCCTCATGCGTACTTGCACATACATGGACATCCTTAACCATTCTTCTCACTATCGAGTCCATGCTATCATAGCAACCCCCTGTGGATTTCCAAAACTAGAACTGTTTATGGGAGTAGAAAGCCCAGTTTTTCTCCCATGGAGCTGCTGGTGGTTTCAAACTGCTGACCCGTGGGGATCGCAGCCCAACTCATAACCACTACACCACCAGGGCTCCTCAATTGTTCCTGGGTAGTGTGAATGATTTGCACTTATCTATTAACCTCAAGGTTCAAGGTATAAATCCACCTAGGGCACCATTAAAGAAAGGCCTAACAAGCTGCTTGCAAAAACTGTAAAAATTACAGCCAAGAAAACACAACAGAGCACAGTTTGGGTCTGTAACACAGAGGATCTCTGTAAGTCAGGATCAACTTTATGGCAAAGAGTTTGGGGTGTGTTGATTTCAGTACGGGACAAGAAAGATGGGCAAACATCCCCAGACTATGTCCTGGTGTCTAGAAAGGAAGGAAAAAAAGAAGACTCAAGACTTACTTCCTCCAGATAGCATTGAAGCATTTGGCTCATGGCATGGGTGGTTTGGTCCCTTTTTCTGAGGAACAATGAAGAAGGAAAGAGCTTGACCTGTACCTTTATGTCCCCTAATGGCCTCCAGGCCAAAGGCCGGCCTACTTTGTGGAGCTAGCCCTATTCTGGCCAGCATAACACCTTCTTTCAGAAATGAAATCTTGTTATTGTTCTGCTTCAAAAATCAGCCTTCTCCTACCTCTTCTATGTCAGCAATGATGGGGTTCAACTCTCTGTTATGTGAAACCCCAAATAGCAGTGAGTCCAAACATATAATAAGTTCTTATGCTCATTTTCTTCTCAGTCTGAGATACTTGGGGGTTCCGTGTGCATCAGAGACCCAGGCTCCTCCCATTAGTATGTGTAGTACACATACTACACACATTAGATGTGTGTCATCAACTGCGTATTGAAGGGCTACTTTAGCTACTGCAGGGCTGTGAATTAGTGAATGTGAATGTTCTAGCCAAAATCTATACGTCCCACCAAACAACTTTTCCCGGCATGAATCTGGTAAGAAGTTGAGAGAAGATCCTGATAGGATTCACCTGGGAGTAATTTTGAACAAGATTCCCTGGAGTATCATCCTGCTGTGTATAAAATGAGCCCTCTGAGAAGCAAGAAGAGGGATCTCATTACCAGAAAGAGGCAAGGGTGGGCCCAATATTCCTATGTTGTAAACCCCCTGAATCCAGTTGACAGCTATACCATCAGAGGAGCAGCAGCAGACCCAGGAGGCAGCACATGGAACAGTGATGGACATCCTAACCCAAATAGCAAAAACATCTGAGTGTTTTAGTACACAACACTGACTTGCAGAGTGGGATGCCTCTGGGCACTTAATTGGGGAGGTTGGATTTGCTGGCCCACAGAAGTGGAGCTGTGTTTAGGCTGAGGTTTACTGGAGTGGGGTGCCTCTGGACACTTAATTCAGGGAGTTAGATCTACTGACCCATGGAGCTTAAGCTGAATGCTTTCAGGTTGAGACTTAGAGCAAAGTGGTATGCTCTTTGGGCATTTATTAGCAGACTTGACAGAACTTTGTAACATATCCTGATAAAGAACCCTGAGCATTTTTCACTAGCATTACAACTTGTTATTTTCCTTAATAAATCCTTTAATTGTGAATTTTGTATGTGAGTTCTGTGTAGACATTGCAATGGCTACTACAAACTATAAAGGTAAAATAGTGGACATTAATTAAGAATATACAGCTACTCTACAATCAAGAGCAAATCTCAGAGCCTCTATTGACATTATCTTTCATCTTTTTTGTCTTTCTTGTCTTCTTAATGACCTTTTGCTTTCATCACATATGATGTTCTTGATGTCATTCCACAGCTCAACAGGTCTTTGGTCACTAATGTTCAATGTGTCGAGTCTATTCTTGAAAATCTGGTGGAAGATACTGTGTTAGACAGGGTTCTCTAGAGAGATAAAGCCAAATTGCTGATAATTAAATATATTTATGTATAAAGATAATTAGATATATAACAAGAAATGAACTGTTAAATCATATACAGGTAAATATATAATACAAGAAATGAACAGTTAAATTATAAAGCACTACAAATGGTTCACTGCAATTCACTCCTGTGAGAGAGAGTTGTGTGAGACTAGCAGTCCTTCAAATCTCTGCTGCCAGATCTTCCTCTATTTATAGAGGGAGGTAGGCTATCTCAGCACAGCAGCCAACCACAAGGCAGATCACCAACTGTCAACCAACCAGTCCCAACTGCCAGTCCCCAGCTCCAGAGATATCTTAAAGGGACCTCAACTTACCGCGACACAGTCCACATGCTAGGCATCCTATAGGTAGTGTAGCCTATAAATTGAGGCACAGAACAAGCAAGGCAGCCGCACACTGGTCCGATGATCAAAGAGCGAGAGACAAGAAAGGAGAGGCTCACCGAGCCATTTATCTCTCCGCCCTTCAGTTAATCCCTCTTGTGTTTATCGGCCAGGCTGGCACAATAAACTATCTCAGATACTCAAGAGCGTATTTTGCCTGTTGTGTATTTGTTTTAATTTTCTTCAACTTCAACCTGAACTTACATATGAGCAATTGATAATCTGCTCCACAGTCAGCCACTGGCCTTGCTTTGGCTGCTGATATTGAACTTCTTCATCATCTCTTCCCATAGGAGTGGGAACTCCTGTATTTTCTGTCTGATGAGGTTCATGTGTACAGTCACTGTTTATGTTGTTGATAAAAGGTATTCAAAGTAAAGAAGTAGTTGGTATTATGAAATTCCAATTGTCATAAAACCGTGACTGGCACAGATTAATAAATCAGTTACAAGTAGGACTACACAAACAGGAATTGGACCATGATTGCGACACGTACAACATATTAGACAGAATAGGTTACAAGATTGGTCCAGAACCTTCCTACTATGGCAGCCAGGGCATGACTCATGACTATGTAACCGTAGTATGGCAATCACCATGGAAGGCACACCCAAGCAAGTCTCTTAGGAGACTTATTCCTCCCTGAGCTAATCACTATCCAGGAGGTAATACACTCTACCTGAGAACAAGGCTATTCACATCCCTGGTTAATGATCAGAAAGAATTCAATGAAGGCTTAATATACATGGGGACTCTGAAAATGGATTTTGGACTTTCACTGTTATCCACAGGCTTGTGAAAACCCAATGCCCAAAATTTATGCTCTAAAACAATCCTTTCCTCTGATCCTGAATTTTATTTTTACCAATCCTTTGATCACACAAGTGAGTATACTTCTGTATGGGCTTAGGTGACATATCACTTAGATGGTTGCTTGCTTTAAGACAAACCCTAAGACCCCATATGCTGTTCTTCCTGATAATCTGACACCATCTGACTTCTTCACCACTCTTTTCTATATCACTCATATGTTCAGCAATTACTTCATTGTCAGGGTAACCAGCCCCTAACAAATCATCACAGGCCTGGTAGGCGCAATTGTACAGTAATAATATGTAAAGATTACAGTCAAGTCATAGAGAATAAGAGAGAGTAAAATGAAGGAGTCAGACACATTTCATGGTAGCATGCTCACCTCAGCCCCGCTTGGTGGTTCTCGTGGGGATGTGGAAGGTGGGAATGGCAGGGGAGAGAGAGATTTATTTCTAACCAAGGCTTATATATCTTTTGGGGGTGTGTAAGCCCCCTGATTACAGGTAGAGACATACATCACAGGAAGTGGTTGTACTGTAAGTAATACATTAATAAGAGGGGGAAATCTAAGGGTATGCACGCAACAGGAAGGAGAGGGATTGAGGGTACGCATGTGACAAGATAGGCGGATACTAGTTTCAGAACAGCAGCTTAACTCTGGATGTCACTGAGCAGGTTTGACCTGTTCTAAGCTCTCCAGGGAAACAATCACTATTCTATCAGTAGGGTGTGAGCCCCACCTAAGGTGGACCAGGCAGTAATCTGATTGCTATGGATGGCTGATGCTTTCAGGGAGAATAGCTTGATAATCATTTACGAGTAGTTGCAAGCAGTGTCCTAGGACTGACGTATATTGGGGGAGACAAGCTGGGGAACAGCCTTTTTATATCCCATGCTTCATGAGGGTAAGGACCAAGCATAGTCCAAAACTACGTTTTTTAACTATAGTTCCTTCCTCTTTGCTTTTAATTTTCTCATTCCATCCACTGATAATTATCAGTGTATCTTGATTACAAGTTTGACCAATTTCAGACCAAAGAAGTTATTAGAATGCTTCAATGTTTTCAACACTGGCTTTAATTGCTGGTGCATAAATTTGAATATTAGTTGTATTAACTAGACTTCCTTATAGACACATAGATATTATCCTACCACAGACATCACTGTACTTCAAGATACGTCTTGAAATGCTCCTTTTTATGATGAATGTGACAACATCCCTTTGAGTTTGTCATTCCTGACATAGTAACTCTGTCTGATTTAAAATGACCAATAGCAGTCCATTTCATCTCACGAATGCCTAGAGATTTGATCTTCATGCTTTCTATTTCATTTTGGAGGACTTCGAATTTTTCTAGATTCATACTTTGTACATTATATGTTCCGATTATTAATAAGCATTTGCAACTCTTCTTATTTTGAGTCGTGCCTCATCAGCAAATGAAGGTTCCAGAACCTTTGCTCTCTGTATGTCATTATGGTTGACTCTATGTTAAAGTAGCATCTCTTTCCTAGTTGTATTTTGACTGCCTTCCAACCTGAGAGGTTCATCTTCCAATGAACAGACTTCGTTGAACATCAGACAGTGTTCTCCTGCTACTTAGAATGTTTTCTGTAGCAAATATCTCAGAAGTGAACTGCGCATTTCTTCTTCCTACTGTGTTCTTATTCCAGAAGCTTTGCTAAAATCAATGCACATGGATGACCCTGCTGACATTTGAAATACCAACAACATAGTTTCCAGCATCATGGCAACACACAAGCCTCACAGTTCAACTAGCTGATAAATGAGTGGATCACACGGTCCAGAGGAGTTAAATGATCTCTTCGGAGTCTCACAACCATTCAGGACTAGAAACTCAATCTCCTAAAAAGGAAGGCTCTCCACGTGGCAATGTTATCCCCCTTTTAAATCTTAAAACGCAGCTTGTTGGTATGTTCACCAATTACCTAACAACATTTTCTTATACATTGCAGTATCCCGCTAAAACTTTAAAGTATATGTTTTCTTGCTTTATGAATTTTATTTCTGTGGGCATCTTACTTAATCCTATTTAATATGTTGCCTTTAGAACCACAGCAGCAACAGGAATAAACTGAAAGTTATCTCAATTGCTGTTATGTTTCAGCCAAGGTTGATTGAAGCCCAGTTGCTTTTTACACTTAGCTTTGCGTTTGGTGTGAAAGCCTAATGTGGTAAAGCAATTTAATATTGCAAATGATTCTACTGTACCATTGTTTTGAACTTGGATTGTCCTTTTAACTCTGAATTTTTTTCCTGCCCTTGAAATCAGCAAATATTATCTGTGCTACCGTTTGAATTCCCGGCAGTCACTATCTTGTGCTTATATCAGCAACTCGGACCAGTTAGCTATAATGAGTATTGCCTGCCCACTTATTGAGAGCTGTCCGTGAGTTAGCTGATGAGATGAGGAATGAAGCACTTATCCTAATGAGTTGGAATGTGGATCACATAATTGGGAGCAGCTTTCATAGAAAGTGGAACAGAGAGGTCTGTGGCATGTTTTATTTTGTTCTTTTTTTTTTTTCACTAGACTGGTTCAATAACTATCTGGTTATAACTGGTTACAAGCTCACTTCCTTTTTCCCTCAGGAACTTTCTTCTCCAGAACATTCTAGACTCTGTCAGCAGCAATTCACTTGATAGAATTGATCCTGTGACTCTTGTGTTTAAATTCTTTACTTTGCATCTTTCTGAGACAACGGCCAGATTCCTCAGATGGGCACACAAAGCCTTTCCAGCATGTCTATGCCGTTCATTGTTCTCAGCCTTTGCACTTCTCCATATCCTTCTTGCCCACCTTTTGATCATTTCCTTAAACAGCTCATAATTCCTTGACCATCTTTATGTCATTTGACTTGATAAGGTCTTTGCCATGTTCTTTACCCTTGGATAGACCTTCTCACCCACTCCCTCTTAGACTAGTTACATTCATTGCATTCAGTTGCTTCCAACTCATGTTAATCCCAGATGTCAGGGTAGAACTGCTTCAGGGTCTACAGCTCCAGTCCTTTCTTCCAAGGATCACCTGTATGCACATTCCAACTGTGCTGTTAGCAACTGAGTATGTTAACTATCTGCACTGCTCTGAGATCCCACGTACTTGACCAAACGACAAAGCCACTGTCATTGAGTCAATTTTGTCAATGACAGAGCAGAATTGTCCCCCTGGGTTTCTGAGGCTGTACATCCTTATGAGACCAAAAAGCTTCATCTTCCTTCCATGGAGTGGCTGGTGGATTTGAACTGCTGACCTTGTGTTTATCAGCCTATTTCATGACCCACTACACTACCAGAGCTACCAGAGCTCTCTTATTCCTACAAATATTATAAAAGTCAGCTCAGAACTGAATAGAGGTCACGCTGACCCCTTGAGATGTTGTTCCTCCTTGTTAATTCATCATAAGATTAGCTCCACTTTAAGGAGTTACTTCCTCTGGAAAAAACAACCCACTAACTCACTACATACCTCACTCCCAAAAACCTTGCAGGGGAGGTTGTTTTTGGTTTTTTTTTCCAAAAAAAAACAAAATTCGCTTGCCTCTTGGGTTCCCAGAATCAGCTCATTTTCCTTTTCCCCTCCTCCCCCTCCCTTTCTCTGTCCCCTCCCCCATGCACCCTTGATAATTTATAAATTATTATTATATCTTATATTACACTGCCCGGCGTCTCCCTTCACCTACCCCTCTGTTGCCCATCCCCCAGAGAG